ATAATAATCATTATAACTGCAATAATGATAATGATAATCATGACGATAATGACTATAATGATGATAATCATAAGAATAATGAAAATAATGATTCCATTTATAATGAAATAAATGCTAAAACTAATAAAATCCCAAAATTCGAAAAAAACGGTAAAATCTAGCGTATTACAGCCTTTTAAGAGAAAGGTCGAAAAAATCCTTTTTCGCTTTTAAATGATAATTATGATTATTTTAACATTAATTCAGGTAATTATGATGATTTCATGATAATTCCTTTATTATTAACAATAATGATGATATTATGATGATAATGACAATAATAATACAAATAATGACAATAATAATAATGATAATGATAATAGAATGATAATTATCATGATAATTTTTTATAATTACTGCAATAATAGGAATTATTTCTATTCTAATAATTTTCATACTAATAATGACAATAGAAATAATAATGATATCATTCTTATTAATATTATATTGAGTATTATTGTCATTATTCTAAAATTCTCATTATTGTTATTATCATTATCAAAAAAGTTACAATGATGAAAATGACAATAATCATTAGCATAATAATCATTATAACTAATAATGATAATGATAATAATGATTATCATGACGATAATGACTATAATGATGATAATCATAAGAATAATGACAATAATGATGATAATAATAAGAGAGTCTATTTATAAGGAAGTAAAGGCTAAAACTAATACAATCCCAAAAAGTCGAAAACACTGCAAAATCTAGCGTATTACAGCCTTTTGAGAGAAAGGTCGAAAAAAAAACCTTTTCCGCTTTTAGATGATAATTATGATGATTTTTAAGTTTAATTCAGGTAATTGTGATGATTTTCATGATAATTCCTTTATTATTAACAATAATGATGATAATTATGATGATAATGACAATAATGATAATGATAATAATAAAATGATAATTGTAATGATAATTTTTATAATTACTACAATAATACCAATAATTAAATCAAATCTATTCTAATAATTATCATACTCATAATGACAATAAAGATAATAATGATATTATTATTGTTATTATTATGAGTATTATCATTATTCTTTCTAAAATTATCATTATTGATATCATCATTATAAAATAGTTATAATAATGAAATTGACAGTAAATAATTAGCATAATAATCATTATAACTGCAATAATGATAATGATAATGATGATAATCAAAAGAATAATGACAATAATGATAATAATAATCATAATGAAATAAATGCTAAAACTAATAAAATCCCAAAAGTCGAAAAACGGCAAAATCTAGCGTATTATTGCCTTTTCAGAGAAAGGTCGAAAAAAACCTTTTCCGCTTTTAAATGATAATTATGATGATTTTAACATTAATTCAGGTAATTCTGATGATTTTCATGAATAATTCCTTTATTATTAACAATAAATAAATTATGATGATAATGACAATAATTGATATTAATCATTAATAATAATAGATTTGATATTT